GAGCTTAGTTTTGGCTACACATCCTTTTTTCTCTCTGTGTACGCACACCCTCATAAGCATACGCACACATACGCACGCTGACAAGGGGAACGGCGTGCTCACGCGTAATAAATGTATTACGTGCCTGCTTGTAGTAGTGTGTCCCATACTCGTACCCTGTCCCACCCACACACCCACACCACCGCACTCAATCTGAGCTTATTTAAACAAGGAAAAGCCCCCTGGCAACAGCCTCAGCGCTCAGCCCCACCCTCAGACCATGTTACGTTTGTTACGCTTGTTGAACAGGTGCCGATTACAAGTGCCAATTTGGCTGTGCCTCTGCCTGTGCCTCTGCTGTGCCTGCGAGTTAATTGAAAACTTTTTAATTGTTTAGGCACGGGGCAACATTTTGAAATAAACTTGGCTTAGTGGCGCGCTTCGGGCTCTGCAACTGATTTATGGCCATGTCTTTGGCCAGGGCCTGCCGCTGACAGTTTCAATTAAGCAGCAAAGCACAGGGCCAGCGTCTCGGTCTCAGTCTTCGGACTGATGCTCTGTGCTCTGTGCTCCGTGTCTCGGGTTCCTTTGAGTGGCGCTAGAGCCAGAGAGAGAGAAAGGACTGCAATTTCAAACAATCGAACGGGGCAGCCAACCATCCATCCATTGATTCAAGTCGAGAGTTCTGTGCTGTGTTGTCCTGTCCTGCCCTGCCCTGCACTTCGATTGTTTGTTCTTGGCACTCTCTTGGCCCTGTCTCTGCCTCTAACAACTGTAATTTAATGTGCCCAGCAGCTACACTGAGAGAAAACAATCACTATGATACTCCGACGGGGAAAACCAAAATGTTTATCCTTAATATCCTTGTTATCCCAAATAAATAAGAAAATAAAAATTTCCAAATCTTTGCCTTGATAGTGGAACCAGTTTTTTCCTGCAGTGCACGGCTGTGCATGTACATCCCTGAAACTACAATGTGGGAAAAAACCACATACATGGCTCAATCATTCCCAATACTCGTAGCCAGCTGCACTCTCAGCCATCGACTTTCCACGCCCCGGTCTTCACACTTGGGTGACGTTGTGGCTTTCAGTTGTGTCATTGATTGGTTTACCCAGCATTCTGTTTGTTTGCATTGGCTTCGATCGACAGCCACGTCCCAGGATTTGTGGTTTTTCTATGTGCCGTGCCTCTCCTGCCACTCGTGCCACTCTGCCACTTTTGGCAACCATTGTATGCGACTGACCACAGCATACAAAGCTGCTGTTGCCGCAGCCCAGCCACCAGGCTAACCATCATTTCCGTTCAATTGTTGCATGCTGCATGCTGCATCAATCAATCAATTATGCAACCGAGCCCCGTCCATTGTGATTGCATAAGCCCCGAACTATTTCAGGCGCCCCTGCGTGGTGGAGAACCAAAAGTAATTTCAATTGGAGCTGCTCGTTGCTTTTAATTGTTTCAACATGTGAGCAACATTCCAATGTGAGTATGTTCCTGTCCTGGAACGATGTCTTCAATGCACTTTAATTTGGATTCCATTTGTGCACCCATCCATCCCTCCATCCATCCATCCACCCACACAATGAAAGCAGCTCAGAGTTTGGGGATGCAGAATGCATCCATTTTCAGGATGGATGTCAGCTGCGATGCTCTCATGCTCCATTTGTCAGCAACAGACAGGAGGACAGACACCTCATCTCTGTTGCTCATCTCCTCACTGTGAGAAGAGACACATTCAGAATCGGGGGGAAACTCATTTCGCTTTGTGCTCCTTTCTCTGTGAGACGTTCTCATTCTCCACACTCTCACCCCTCGATTTTCTCTCGGTAATGTTACAAAAGATGAGTTGCACTTGAGCATGCTAAAATGCGTTATTAAGTGCATAAATATGCAATGTGTGCAACCTTTGCACTCGCCAGCATCCAATCCCCCAGCTGCTGCCTCCCACCTGTCTAACAATGGCCGCCTCCGCCGCCGCCCCTCTTCAGGTGAGCCGTCGAGTGGTTGGGTGGATGGGCTACATGTGAGAAGAGCTTTTGAAATTTAATAAAATGCAAATTCAAATGCAGCAACCAGTCAGCCAGACACACCAGCATTTGCCACACATGCCACGCCCCATGTTCCCATTGTCAGGCAAAAAGAGGGCCTCTGTGCCTTCTGCATCCATCTGTGCAGTGCAACAACTGGAGGACTGGCAACACGCTAATGAGTTGAGTTTTGTCTCCATCTCTTGCCCCCAAAAAATACACACACACAGGGACGGAGAATAGGCCGGTCGCTCGGTCGCCATGGGCCGTGTGGTAGGCATTATGCAAAGAAGAGAGCAAAAAGGATGCACTGAAGCGACTGCCCTCAAACAACAAATTGTGGTAATGGAAAATATAAAGAAATACGGTGCGGCTCAGGCCTATAAAACTGGGCGAAAATCAAAAATAAAGGAGCTTTTCAATTAAAAAGTACAAACAAAAACCAATCTAATAATTTGTATCTAGTATGATATAAATAAACATAATTATAAGAATTATAATAATATATAATAATAGTAGTTATAATAATAATTAATACCCTGTACTTGAAGAGTGTACACTGGCTTCAAAATAATTTCAAGAGAGTTTATCCTTGGCTTTTTAAAGGCTCCAAAAGGCAGCTAGAATACCAGTTGACCCTTGCTTTCATTTAATCTCATTTTACATTTTATTTCATCTAAATTAAACGACCCTAAACTTTGGTAATATTATTGATTAAATGTATTTGCTGCTCTGTTAACTTTTGACATGGGTTTGGTTTTTGATCCCTACAGACCAAATAGATTATAGTTATTCCTTCTTCATGGTGCCAGCAATGCCTTCTCTTTAGGATGGAACCTTTATGTTATTTATTTAATTCCCTGAAACGCACTGTAAGTTTAATTATTTTTAAATTTAAGAAGGCAGCCAAGGGGAAAAAGCATAACATTAAAAAAGAGAGAGAGAGAGAGAGAGAGGGAGAGAAATAAATGTATAAAAATCGATACAACTTTTTGGGCGGGCATTAAAAAAGGATCAAACGGTGGAACACGTGTGCGCACACAGCACCGCCAGGAGGCGAAACGCACACGGATATATCTATGCTATCCTAGCGTATGCGGTGTATCCTTGTATATCCTTGTAGGTATACACATGTAAGTCCGCCGCAGGGAGACAGAGGTAGAAGGAGAGCGAGAGAGAGAGCAGTTCTAAGGAGCACCGCACACCCATAAAAAAGTTGCCAGTATTCCCATTCCCATTCCCAATCCGTATTGCCATTGGCATTGGCATTGTCTGGTGGGTCTTGGTCTGGGTCTGGCTCTGGCTCTGGTCCTGGTCTGCCTTTGGACGGTTGCCTTGGCTTTCACAGGGCCTGGGTAAGGGGCGGGGCGGCGATGAGACCCTTAAGCCACCTTCCCCAAAAGGTTCTCCTCAGTCTCTGCCTGTATCTCGGTCTGTCTTTGGCTCTGTCGAGAAGCCCTTTCACACCAAACCGTGTGGTATGTGTGTGTGTGTGTGTGCTCGTGGCACAAGTGGCAAAATGTTGTTACGTGAGCATTAAACCATATTTTAAGTTATTAAGTTATTGACAAAAGCTCACGTCACCCCTTATGTCGGGGCTTGGCTCTGGCTCTGGCTCGGACTGGGTCTGGGTAAGGGTTGGGTGAGGGTGAGGGTTGGGTAAGGGTTCGGTTGGGTTGGAGGACACTTGTGCGCTGCTTATCCCTTACGGCTTACAATGCCACGCCTAGGCGCACACACAGACACACAGATCTATGTATACATGTATGTCGTATGTCCTGTAAAATGCCTGAATTATATGTCTGAAGGATAAAAACTTTTGTGTAATACGAGGAGTGGAGTATCCCGTACTCGTACTCGTGCTCGGCACTTTTTCAATTTCTGTCCAAGCTGTTGGTCCGTTGCTCCGTTGCATCTCTTCTGTTGAAATTTCAGCTGTAAATGGAAACATAAATATTGCTGCCCGCCTGCCTGCCTGCCGGCTTGCCCCAGTGGGGCGTCTGCTGTGGTAAAAGTTTCCATCTCCGTTGCAGTCATTCACTCACATGTCCAATCCACTGGCTGGACGTAGAGCACTCTGCCCCTCCCTGCCTCTATCCCTTGTGTGTGTGGTGTGACTGTGACATATTTTACTCTTTCTGTTGCTGTTTCTGTTGCTGTTTCTGTTGCATTCTCGCAGGCGCTATGCCGCAATGTCAGGCCACCTCCGGAGTCTGACTCCAGGTAGCCTTTTATGCTATTGCCTTTTTCATCTGCAAAGGACATGAGACAAAGGCAAAAGTCGGCTGGACATGCTTGCCGGAAATTGAAATACAAGTTATTAGATTTCTTTGACAGCCGCCAGAACAGCCAGAGAGAACAGTAGAACAAAATAGGAAAGGAAAGAAAAGAAAAGAGCTAAAGCCACATCCCATCACATATATATTGAAAGTCGTAAATTGTTCTCGACTTTTGAATGCTTAAAGGATTATTTGTTGTGTTCCTTGCTGCTGTTCTATTTTCATTTACATTTTCCTCTGCAGTTGTTCTTTTCTTTTCTGTTTTTTTTTGGGGGGAGAAACAAAATACATGGCACATAAATTGCCATGGCAAAGGACACATTTGGGTCTCTCTCTAGCTCTCTCTCACTCTGTGACTTAATGTCCAAGCAAATAAACACACAGACACATTCGGGGGGAATGGGATGGGTTGTTCGTGGCTCTGCTGCTGTCGTCAGTTGGTTTTGGTTGCACAGTTTTTCCTTTTGTTTTCCCAATGCCAAATCAACCACCGCCGACGCAGATAATTTGCCAAGGGAGTTGTTTTATGGCCAAAGGCTGGGCAGAGCAGGGCAAGGCAGGGCAGTGCAGGGTAGGGCGAGTGTGTCTTAATATGTATGGCTCTCTGGCTCTGAATGTGGGCTGTGGCAAGTCGTGGGGCGCGGGGGTCAGGCGCCATGACCTACTTTTGTGTGGCAACTTTTTCAATTTGTTTGGCGGTACCAGGGAGGGGGACTTTTGCTTGGCTTGGGCCAGAAGTTTATTTCATAAAATACAATGCAAAGAATGTTGGGACTAAAGTCTACTCATAAAGCTTTCAATGGATTAACTAACGACTCTCCTGCGTGCCACCGTGCCACCGTACAGCCGCACTACTACTGCTGCTGCTGATGCTGCTGCAGGATCAACAGCAGCAGCCACATCAATGCCCAGCTGCCTCGATCGAGCTGCGGCAGTGCCGCATTCGTCTTGTCGTCATCCGTCTGGACATCCGTCTGGTCTTTTGCACGCGTCCTCGTGTAGAGCATATCCTCGGGTCGCATTTTTCGCGAATCCTCTTCCTCCTCCTCCTCGTCATCGGACATGTTTGGCGGTGCGGCGGCAGTGGTGACCTTGCCCGTCATCATCAGCAGTTGCATGCGTTGCATGGGCGTCAGTGGCGGCTCGTCCGTGGGCCGCTGCCAGTGCGGTGGCGGCAGAAAGGGCTCGTACGTCTGCGGCGCCTCCTGGGCCCTGTAGCCGTAGACGAACATCTGAACGAAAAGGGAGACGGTGCTAAAGTCCGTGATGACGGCCTTTAGGGTGCCACTGGAGTAGTGGCTGTACTCTGCCACAGGTGCCACATAGTTGGGATCCAGGCCGCTTCTGTCCGAATAGTGCTGAGGAAAAAGGAGAATTAATCAAGGCAAAAGGAAATCCGGCAGGCACCTACACCAAAGATGACAAACTTCACGTAGGTTATGGAGTCGCTGTCGACGTAGTAGAACACCACCGTGTGATTTGTTTCCACCGAGGACTCGTTTGGGGAGGTCTGAAAGGTTTCGTACACCAACTGATCGCCTGGGAAACGAATCGTAAATCATATTACAGAATCAACTCATTTAATTCATGGCTCAGCATCACTCACCCGGCTGCCTGTGGCCAATTTCAATGACCTTGTCGATATTATCAAACTCCAAACTGGAGCCAGAGCCGGGACCCTCCGTCTCTGTTTCCGTTTCCAGGTCTTCCTCCTCGATGTCCACCTCCAGGGCATCTCGCTTGATATTATCGTAGAGCTCTGTGAACTCCTTGCTCGCCTGCCCGAACTCGCCATCGTCCTCCTCGGCGTCATAGTCCTCGAAGGGCTGCAGCTCACCTTCAAACTGTCGATCGCGATTGATCAGCAGCGAGGGATTGACATTCAGAACGGTGTGATTGAAGCCAAATATCAATATGGTCACGTCGAAGGCGGGCGTGGGCAGGGGCAGGGGCTGGGGCTGGCTCTCTTCATGGCTCTGATTGGTGCCCAACACGCTGATCATGCCCACAACCAGATGATCCGTATAGCTGAACTTCACCTCCGCGTATATGTTCTGAAAGCAAGAGGCCCACAAAGAATCAGACACTCAATCCACTTTGGGTTGGAGTCAATCAAGCATGTCCACATCCATCAGCAGCTGCCACAATTTCCAAGATGTTTACAGTCGGCTGCGTCGATTATTTTGTGTATTTTCTTGAGAAAAACTCGCATCGTAATTGACTCAAGAAAATGCCTCAAATTGAAAATGCATTCAAGACGATTTTCACGATATATATATTCTAGAAATAACAAGCAAATTCGTACACCCCCGCCCCTGCCTCTGCCCCTGCCTCTGCCTCATTAGCCCCTCAATCCCATTTGACTTTTTGGCATTGCCACAAAATTGCCACATTTTTGAACATTTTTCGCAGTACACTCAAAGCCTTAAATTAGTTAAAGGCATATTTATTTTGTTCTGTTCGCTAAAATATATATATTATAGTGCATTATTGTTACTTTCAATTATCGGGCCACAGATGCCATTATTAGCTGTTCAAAATTGTTACGTGTGCACAGCACACAGCACACAGCTCATAATCCAATCTGATTTCAGGGCAAAAGAAATAAACAAAAAATTGAGAGACTATTGGTGGCGAAGGATAGCGACTTCTTGATACCCCCCATGTGAAATTTGTGTACTTTGCAGAAAAGGAATAATTGAATATATATATAGGAATATTTAAGGCTTTGTTTTGCTTTGTTTTAAAGCGTGTAGAAACTTTAAATGTTCAAAGAAGACATCAATCTATATATGTTCCCAATCAACTGCCTGTTGCTTATTCCCGCACAATCCCAACATGCCCCTACTAGTACCAGGTACAAGAGAAGAAATGCCAAAAAGATTTGGTAAACAGTGGGCCCAGCGGCGCATATACTGGATATAAATACACCGCACACACAATCTATATGTAGTAAAGACCCAAACTTGTTGTCGTCTGCAATGACGAAAAAGCGACAATTTGTTGTTTCTATATTCGGTTCTGGGGAATATGCAAAACGAACGTAGCACCGAGGGGTCACTTCTACACTATGCAAATTCGCAATGGGTACTCGAGAACTCACTTCCTCTGAGACAATTTCAATGTATGTGATGGGCTCGGGTATCTCGTAGTTGAAGATCACACGGGGCTGTTCGCTTATGCCGGCAGGACGCGAGTGCTGGACATCCTTGAGCAGCAGCTGATCCCCCTCGATGCGCTGGCCAACGCCAAAGAAGCGCTTGGCATCGCTGCCCCCGAGGAGAGCCTGAGAGGCAAAGATCAGCAGCAATAGACAAAATACTTTTGCACACATTTTTCCCTTTTTGTTTTTCGTTTTTTTTTTTTGTGTGTTTGTTGTTTCTCTTTAGTTGGTTGATTTTTGGTGGCACATTTTTAGAAAGAAACACTCGGCCCGAGACGATCGAGAGATCTTGCAACGCGTCGCGGCAAACGAACTTTGGCAACTGTGAAATGAGAATGCCGAGTACCGACTGCCACCGAGTGCCGTGCTGATGCTGGCCGCTGGGCTGCTATGTGCTCCAAGTGTTGACTGATCCATCGGTCGCTGTTTTCGCTTTCGTTTCCCCACAGAGAGAGAATGTTTGAGAGCCGCGCTAGATCTCGCGTGGCACAGGGAACATGCATAGTTCTCTTCTCCATTTGTTTTGGGCTTTTTACTCCCACTGCTGCTGCCGTTGCTGCCGTTGCTGCTGCTGCTGCTGCACTTGACCTCAAATCATATCTGGCCATCATTCCAGGCGGGCAACTCTTTGAACTCCTTGTCAACGACCCCTGTCGTATATCGGTCGGGACTCGACTCCCAGGCCCCATCCAACCCTTTCGAAATGCGTTTAAAATTGACAACGAAAGTCGTAAAAATAGCCTCGAAAAATACATGCATATATATATAGAATACGAGTAGGTGCTGTATATATAAATAGCGTGTGTCTTTTGCAAAAGAGTTCTTTGACTTTGTCACAAAACACGGGGGTTGCTGATTGATCAGATCCGAATAATTCATCGGCCATTCATGCTTTGAACTCTACGCGTGAGTTACCTTTTTTTTGCTCTGGCCTAAGTGTGCAAACGTTTTGCGGGAGCTTTTATAAATTGTTAATTTATGCCCCTCTAATTCTTTCATGTTTTTGTGGTTTTTGGTGTATCGCTTGCAGCCTTATATTTCATTTATTAAATGCTCATTTTGCATTATTTGTCCGTTTAGCCGCAGCTTTGTCCATTAGCCAGATAAATCCTTCTGGCCGGATATAGAATGGCTGCTTCTGCTTCTGGTTCTGGGTCTAATGCTGGGGTCCTGATGATAATGAAGCGGATGCGAATGCGAATGTGCGGGGGGGGGGGGCGACCGCGGGCTGGGCCCATGCATAATGGATGGCAATTATGGTTAATGCGCACAAGTGCGGCACGGTGTGGCCGAAATGTGTGGCACAGGCGCTGGCCTGGCAGTCAGGTGTTTGGATTAAAAATGGTTTTGTGTGCACGGTATCCTTTAGAGTTGAAGGATATATAGTTGATTCTGTGCCGATGATAGAGCCATAGAGCCAAATGGTGTTCCATAGAGTACTGCTACTGCTAGGAGCCATTGCTGCCGTTCCACCAAGGCACACCGAATGGCGCTGCCGTGTAATCAAAACCGTAGATGAATATAATTAATATATGCCACAAGCTCTGCTCTGCTACATTTGCAGGGTACCTTTAAGTCGCATCTCTCTGCAGTTCCTGGCCCGTTTTTAATTAAATGCTGCGTGTGCGTGTGTGTGTGTGAGTGGTGCAAGTGGCAGCATTAGAAATGGAGCATGGCAGTGGCAGCAACAACGGCAACATGACTGCAGTTTCGTGTGCCAAATGGCTGAAACATAAATTATGGAGAGCACCAGCCAATACTGCTGCTGCTGCAACCAGAAACTGCAGCATAATCAGATGCAGACACAGCGACAATCCGATAATAGTTTGTGCTCCCCTCTACGTACGTACCACGTACCGTACCGTACCCTGTGGGGCCATAAATTTAGTTATTCCTTTCTGACTGAGCGATTGCACAACATTTGAGTGTTTCCTAAACGAATGTAGGCAGGATGTTGGATGCTGGCGTTGGCAAAACTGTTAAGAAGCTTACAAGTAGCCACTTAGACATCAGGCAACAGCAGGCAGGCAGTCAGGCAGTGGGCCACAGCTACAGCCACTAACAAGCCAAAGACATGGCCAAAGTGCGAGGCTGTCAACGCCTTGCCTTCCGAGTCGCGTCGTGTCGTGTCGTTGGCTCTGACATTGATGGGGGCGACGGTGACGGCGACTGCTGCGGATGCCACTGATGTTTCTTGCGGTTCTTGTTTTATTACATAAATGAAATGAAATTATGGCATTTGATGATGGAAAATTGCATTTGCATTTTCCCCCCACCCCAATGGAAGTTTAAACAATTTGGATAACTTTAAGCACACTCTTCACTTCTGGGCCGCAAATGCTCCAAATGAATGCCACTCTGCTCCAATTAAAAGGCATTTTGGATGCCATAAACGTTCGCATTTTAGTTGTGCACTATTTAAAATGCAAAAGTGCAAAAGCAGAAGCAGAAATACACAAAAATACACTCACTCACTCATGTATCCGTGCATTGCATTCCGAAATGTTTCAAGTGTCTCAAGAGCACGAATCGATTGGAATTCGAATGCATTCCGTCGGCATCCGTGTGGCGTGGCGCTGTGCCGCTCAAGTGGTTCAATGAAAGGTTAACAACACTCTACAAAGAAACGTTGAATGGCTCTTCATAATTGCTATCCAATGGGCTGGGGAGGCTTGGGGTAAGAACGTTCTCGAATGCAGAGTGAACATGAGGCCATAATTATGGCAATATGAGGCCATTCAACGGCCTGTCGATGCCACTCGCCAATCGGAAATGTGCGTACAAATGGCCCAGCGACCAGCGCCAGACCAGCAATTACATAATTGAATTTACCATTTGCAAGGACATCGGGCATCAGAGCATATGCACATCAATCAATCGGGCTAATAAAGCAATTAACATGGTCAATGGGCGGGTCAGAAATCAATGAAAGGTCCTCCCTCGGGGGCCCAATGACCAATGACCGCCGCCCTGGTCCGCTGGTCCGCTCATTCGAAAGCGGAAATTACAATTTTGTGCTGCGATTGCGGGTATTTTAATTTATGCTTCGCGCAAATTGGATTTTGAGGCCCGCCCCCCACACCCAAAAAAAAAAATGCCCATTTAGCTTAGTCGGGGATTAGGCCCGAAAATGCGGAAAGCCTGTAAATTTTCGTTTAAATTGAAATGTATTTCGCTCTGTTGGCGCTTCTGCCAGTCAAACGCTAAAATGTAGGCTACAATTTCTGCCGGAAAAACAATCAATGGAAAGGCGGCAGCAGCAGGAGCTGCGGTTGAGTGCATCTGCTGCTGCTGCTGCCACTGCTGCAGATGATAAACAGTCAAAGAGTTTTCCCAAAGAAAACCTCGCAGCATAGAACGAACAGAAGGAGCAAAGAAGGGAAAACGCAGAGAAAGTTATAGAATGAAAACTCGACTCGACTCGACTGCTTTCTGATGCTTGCTTGTGGGGAGGGGAGAGAAAACTTTTGAAATGATTGAGGTATGCCTTAATTGGATTGTTTGCCAGGATTGTTTTGCACCTTAATTGCATTGAGCAGAAAACGGGGGATTTCAATGCAGCATAGTCAGAGTCAGTCCTTCAAAGTGAGCAAAATAGAACAGATGTGTAATTAAGATTTGAATGACTTGCCTTCAAATTGAATTTCTGTGGAAACTGTTAGAGGAAAGTCTAAGGCTGATATTGAATGGTAATTGGAAATTGTAAAGTTAGCAACAACTACATAAGCAAGTACATACAGTCTTTCAAAATTACAAATTAACGAAGGAATAAATCTCTCAGCTTTCTAAATTTCACATGGGACTCGTACAAATACTGTTGGCTGCACATTTAGGAAGTTCAGTGTTTATGGTAGAAAAATAATATCAATATATTCCTCTTAAGTTAAACATGCTGGGAATACTATGTACATATGTACAATCAGATCTTGAGAAATTATCTGAACAATTTTAGGTGTATGAAAAAGGCCCATTATTATACCTTGCCTTTGCTTAAAAGTGCAGACTCAAGCAATGACTCAATGACAAAGTCTCTTTTGCTTACATCTGTATGTATGTTGGTACATATGCATGAGTGTACATGCGAGAATGTGTGCTTTTGCTCGAGAGATAAGCTCTGCAAAGAGATCAGCTCCAGATCAGTCTCTCTCTCACTCACTTCATCCGAAATGTGTCTCTTTTTGCTGTTGCTATGGTGACACAGACGTGTTCAATCGTGCACAAGCGAAAGCACGACGCAGAGCACCGCACGAAGCGCAGGTAGAAAAGCTGTTTGGGTCAGTGGGCGAGATAAGAGTTCGGGTGAGCTTTGGTTATTTCTTTCGTTTTTGTTTACCAAGCAGATCAGAGCCTTGAATAAATGTGGATGGAGGCTTCTTTTGCGAGCTCTACTTGAAAATATCTTCTAATTAACTTAATACATATGTAATATGTATTACATATTAGTTAGTTCTAATTATCTGAAGAGAGAGTGGTTTTTTTTTGGTTATTTTATGTTTTTTCCATGAGCAGATAAATATGATGAGAGTTACATGTAAATGTACAAATGTATGCATGTACATTTATATATGCTATCTCTGATTATATGTACATAAGTGTTCTTCAGACTATCGCATATCGAGCACACCCAATTCTGCTACCATTTACATGGTACTTCAAACTGATTGAGTAAAAACCGCTTGGCTCGCGGCTGCAAAAGGGCCAAAGACTGGCTATTTGGCCATAGAAGAACCAGCAGAGAAAGAAAGAGAGAGCAGAGAAGCACCAAGTAGATGCAGTCACAAAAGTGGAGCATATTTACCCAGCCAACGGCAAGCGGCAAACGGCAGACAGCAGACGGCAAACGGCAGTGGCACAAACTGTCGATTGTGGAAATGTGTGTTAAATGGGGGGGGAGGGGGGAAGGGACTTTGAGCCTGGCGGCGATGGTAAATCCATTTCAGAAGCAGGCTCCAGCGAGGGCACTTGACTTGCAATTGGCGCCTGCTTAAAAAGCAGCTGCCAGCTGCCAACAGTTGCGGACATGCTGTGCTCATCGCCTTTGTTGGCTCCTTTCTTTGTCTCCAGGATGAGGGCTGGAAGCTGAATCGCACCAACTACTACCAGGAGGGATGGCTGGCCACGGGAAATGTGCGCGGCATTGTGGGCGTGACATTTACCACCTCCCATTGCCGCAAGAACATGGACTATCCGCTGCGGACCAACTACAATCTGCGCGGCCATCGATCGGATGTAAGTGGAGCATCCAGTCCAACAAAATCCATCCATCATTTTGTAATCCCTTTTCTTCCTCTGGCAGGTCATCCTGGTGAAGTGGAACGAGCCGTACCAGAAGCTGGCCTCCTGCGACAGCTCGGGCATCATCTTT